CCCCCCCCCAAAATTAAAGGGAACATTGCTGACATATTACCACCCCCTAAAAATATTAAAGGAAAAATGCTGGCATACTACTCCCCCCCCACCAAGAAAAAAATCTTCCCATGCTGTTACTGAAGAATTTACATGCTGTTTTGACATCTAGTTTGATGTCTACTGTAGTTGGGAACTGCTAAGTGGGGGCTGTGTGACCGAGTCACCCAGAAACCTTGTTCAGCAGCTAGCCCCTGAGATGGACTCATTTTTCCACTGGGAAATTGCTGCAACTACATTTATGTCATGTGAGCATCCTCACAGAACTAGACACCAGTCACACACTGTTATGTCAATGGAGAGAGTTTTTGGTGGAAGGGGAATCACCCTGGCTAAAACTACACAAGACAGCCCAAGTGTGTTGGACATTACGAATTACACTATATCTCCATACTAAATTAAATACACCAGGAGTTGCTATCCCTTGCACCATCCTTCAACTGCAGAATTTTTACTAATGTTGACCAAAAAGTCTGGAGGTCTTTGTTGTGACAGTGCTACGTGCATGCACCATAGCATTGCCACTTGAGAAAGTTTTTGATTAAATTTTGACATTTTTGTGACATATTTTTTGCTGGCTTCTCTTTGAACCGGCCATTCAAAACATGGGAACTGTCAAGGGTGGAGAGGTTAAATTGTCAAATTCATCATCCAATCTTGTGAGAATTCCAAAAGTCTCGACCTGCAAACATTTGACACTGGCGGCAAGTTGTTGTAGTTTGATAGGCTATTTGAAAAGGTAGCCATCAGAAGTTGTCAAAAAGTTGTTAAAAACTATTCAAAAAATTTCCTTGCTGACAGTGATAAGGTGTGTAGCACTGTACGTAAAGATGCTTAGGGAACTTTGTGCAAACTTATAATATCTTATTTCAGCTTTATGAGGAAGTCCTTGAGAAGCCCCTTTTGAAAGAAACCAAAGCATACTACAGGCGAGAGGCAGCAGAACTTCATGCTGACAACACATGTCATGCATTCATAACTAAGGTATGCTGGGAAACAGAATATACATGTATATACAGTAAAGAATGTTGCTTGTTAATTATTATTGAGCCCTGACCCAAATGAATGCAGGCAGCTAGTTGTTTTCAGACTCTCCGTGCTTTCTAAGTTGACTTTTGCCATTGAGGATTAGCGATCCTCGCTCTTCCCATCGCATCTTAGTCAGAAATTAAAGAATTTCTCACACCTGGGAATTGGAAAAATAAATCTAGTTTCTCTCATCGTGAACTTTGGTTGACCCAAAACACACAATCATAACTTAAATTTTTCATTAATTACCCACCCATCATTTCCGTAATAGGGAGTTCTTTTTTTTAATTTCCGGGAATCTGAGTTATAATAATGTTTTGAGATGTGTATTGTATTTGACTGTATAAATTTACATTTTTTATTTCTCCACTTGACAATTTCAATGTTCAGTAGTGTTAGAAAGTGCATGCACAGTATCAGTGTTAAAGTGCAGTGAGAGGAAAGTGGAAAGGGCAAAACGTACATTGTAGTCAGAGATATGTAAAGTGATATGTTGTCTTTCAGATTGTTGTGACAGCCAATTTGCTCAGACATGCAGTATACACTAAACACATGAAAGTCTGTATATGAGCCAAGTGGCCCATCAGGCCAGAGCTTATGCTGGTTTCCGTAGCTTGACGCGACAAGGAGTATTTCTACTCCCCCTGGATGGGATGCTAGTCCATTGCAGGGTTGTCCCCAGCATTAAGCTCGCTGGTACCCATTTATATACCTTGGTAGAGAGAGGCACTGTGAGAGTAAAGTGACTTGCCCAAGAACACAACGCAATGTCCCCGGCTAGGGCATGAAGCTGGACCGCTCGTTCTGGAGATGAGCGCACTAACCATGAGGCCACTGTGCCTCCCACTAAACATGTAGTAACCTTTTATTTTTGCTTGCAGGTTGATGTCCGCATTCAGGACGAGGATTTGAGGACCAGAAAATTCTTTCATCCTGTGTCATACAGCCGAGTGATCAGAGAGTGTGAAGCACGCATGGTGGAGGATTACATTCCTTACTTACAAGGAGAGTGTCGACAGATGGTAAAGGAGGAAAATAGACCAGGTACCGTTTTCAGCATGTACATATGTAGGTCGATCTTTGTTAGGTTATGTATTTTATGACTTTGTGGGTCACACAACTGCGAAAAATTGATTTATAACATACCGGTAACACCTTCTCAAAAATTGTTATATAATTATTTGCACATGCATGTATGTTTAAGTTAGTTGTAACAAAGCCTTATTACTTGCATGGAGGGGTTTTATTATTGAAGTTTTCAGCATAAAGGTAATTGGTGTTCACAGACAGGCAGAACTTTTTGAACTGAACTTCTTGCTGAGAAACACTTTCGTCTTATAATTAGACAATTATTGTCCTCACAGCCGGTGAATTTTCCTGGTGCCTGGCCCTTTTTGAAACCTCTGATTATGAGATAAGTATGTACTGAAACCTACATCTGTAGTTATAATGTTTTTTATTACTTCTTTCCCAGATCTTTCAAAGCTTTACAAACTTTTGAGGAACATTCCTCGTGGGCTTCAAGCCATGGTCGCAGAACTAGAGGAACACATTACAAACACAGGTAGAATTTTATTTATGGTTGTACATACATGAGTATTTTATAATCAAAAACTTAATAAGAAAATTGTTTCTCAGCTGGAGGCAGCAATATGTTGAAAAATACAGTGTAATAGACCTGCATAAAATCCTGCAATTTAGGCCTTTTGAGCAAGCTCTAACTACAGTGGAATCCCTATTTCTCGAACCTGCTGATAACTCAAACCAAAAATCGTTTCCCCTCCTCAGTCAAACGCTGTAATTTTACCCCCAATTTCTTGAACTATCCAATTTTTCAAACCAATTTTCATTTCCCTTGGAGGTTTGAAAAATCGGGATTCCACTGTATTATGTACTAGCAGAAAAATCCGTCTTTTGGCTATCCCCTAGAAAATCAGTCTCTCATGCAGTACTTCTGTAAATCTGAATTTCCTTAAACACTTTCCCAAGAAACTCTACTTGCCCATGAGGTAAGTAACAGATAGAATCCGCTAGCCTGACTGGAACGTGTACTAGCCCTGGGCTAGTGGACATGATTTTTGTTTTTGCACACTGCTTTGCCAACCCCAAGTTCAACCACAGTTATTGTACATATTGAAAGGATCCTCCATCACAACTACATGTAACTGTCTTTTCATCTCTTAAATTCACGCAAGATGCTTTTTGTATGTCATGAGAGGCCTTCACAATGACTCAAATGGCTGGGCGCGATATTCTCACGAGACTAAAGTTATGTGTGAAACACCATGCTGTAATGACCCAGAAACATATTTCTTTAATTTGGTATTCTTAGGTCTCGAAGCAATTAAATCAGTCAAGGTGGAAAATGTGAGTAGCTACATTTTAGGCAGTTAACAAATAGATTCCGTGTTGCTGTGTGTCTGTTCATTAATAGATCACAGATGATGTCAAAATTTGGTAAGAAAAAAAACGAGGTCCTCGAGTGGCTAGGCCAGTGTGTCACTAATGTTCTGAACACATTTTGACATCTTTTGTGATCTATTACTGAATGGATGCACAGCAACATGGAATCTATCTGTTTTTATAAATTATGTAATAAAAAAACAAACAAACAAAAGATGTTATTGATGTCATCTGTGCATCAGTCCTCCAACAGATCATAACTAAGAATCAATCAAAATGCAAGAATGAGTTGACATGATTATATAATGCATATCAAATGTTTAGATACATCAATACAGGTACATTCAGGTAGTGTGCAATTTTGTTAATAATCCTCTGATTTCAGGGCCCACAGCAATATGTAGATGAATTACTGGAAATCCACAGAAAATTCTCAACTCTTATCAAGGATACTTTTAGGGATGATCCAGCTTTTATATCAGCATTAGACAAGGTGAGCCATTACTACATAATTTATGAGATACACCCTAACACTGAAATATGGAGATTTAACAGACTGGTGTGACAATGCCGCATACACTGTTGATTTTTATATCAAATTTTTTTTATCATTTTCATGCAAACAAAAAAAAAACCACCTCTATACATTGAATTATCATGTTGGATTTAGTAAATACATGAAGTTTCATAAGGATCTGTGCCAAACACATGTATACAACAAATGTATGCCAGGGTATAAGCANTTGCTGTGTGTCTGTTCATTAATAGATCACAGATGATGTCAAAATTTGGTAAGAAAAAAAACGAGGTCCTTGAGTGGCTAGGCCAGTGTGTCACTGATGTTCTGACCACATTTTGACATCTTTTGTGATCTATTACTGAATGGATGCACAACAACATGGAATCTATCTGTTTTTATAAATTATATAATAAAGAAACAAAAAAAAAAAGGTGTTATTGATGTCATCTGTGCATCTATCCTCCAACAGATCATAACTTATTCTAAGACCAATTAAAATGCAAGAATGAGTTGACATTATATATTGCGTATTAAATTTCTAGATACATGAATACATGAACATTCAGGTAGTGTGCAATTTTGATATAATCCTCTGATTTCAGGGCCCACAGCAATATGTAGATGAATTACTGGAAATCCACAGAAAATTCCAAACTCTTATCAAGGATACTTTTAGGGATGATCCAGCTTTTATATCAGCATTAGACAAGGTGAGCCATTACTACATAATTTATGAGATACACCCTAACACTGAAATATGGAGATTTAACAGACTGGTGTGACAATGCCGCATACACTGTTGATTATATCAATTTTTTTTCTCATTTTCATGCAAACAAAAAAGAAACACCTCTATTCATTGAATTATCATGTTGGATTTAGTAAATACATGAAGTTTCATAAGAATCTGTGCCAAACACATGTATACAACAAATGTATGCCAGGGTATAAGCAAAATTTTGTGCCCTGGCATACACTTCTCTGTAAAAGTTGTCAAGTTTGGGGCATGCCACGGTTCCATACATGTATTTCCATGAGTTTGCAACAAGTTCTTATGAATGTCGAGGAAAAGGTTGTTGTTATTCATCATGGTAGATGCAATAATAAAGTGTATTATCGTTTGTCTCGCGATGTAGTGACTTGGGATGTAGGTCGCGATGTTTCGACTGCTTACTGCTAGTCTTCTTCAGGCGATAAGGTCGACTGATTGCACGGTATCATTTATATCACAAAGGCTACTGAGGGAACAGCTACTCATTGGAGCAATGGAACAATAGGAGGATCGAAATGCACCAATCACAGCCGACCCTTGTGATATAAATGATACCGTGCAATCAGTCGACCTTATCGCCTGAAGAAGACTAGCAGTAAGCAGTCGAAACGTCGCGACCTACATCTCAAGTGACTACATCGTGAGACAAAGGATGATACACTTTATTATTAAGTTCTTATGAAATTTCAGATATCTTTTAAATTTGGCATGATAAATTGAGTGGTGAGGCTTAGTTTTTGTTTGAATGAAAAAATTGTAAAAGCGTAGCATCATCGAAGTTGGCCATCAGTCTATTGAGTTTTTGTCAGTGCAAGGTTCAAGGTATTAATTCCTTTTTCACATCATCAGTATGCTTGACAGATAATGATATTATTGTACAATGATGTGTTCCATCAAGTTCAGTAGAAGAAAACAGTATTCTGCAATTAGGAACTTGGCAAAAATAGAACATTTTTCTTTGTTTGGACTTATTTAAGGTGACTCAAAAGTGTCAAGAGTGTCATTTATAGAATAATTCTTTATTGTGTCATTTGAATGTGTCTTTGTTTTCCTTTTTCAGGCCTGTGCAACTATAGTGAATTATAGACATGATCCAAGGCGCTCATCAAAATCACCAGAATGGGTAAGCACTCAAGTCACTGAGACTGAGAAAGAGCAGGGTGGCTACTTGAGCTTACATGTAGAATGTTGAAACATTTTCAGAGCTAAAATGGTGTCAGCTTAAACCACTGGATGTAAATTTATAATATGCGTAATTTTGTTAGTGACAGTTGTCACTTACCTTTTTTGCCTTTGATTAGCTCGCCAAATACTGTGATTCAATCCTGAAGAAGAGCACGAAGAACCTCAGTGATGTAGAATTAGATGAAAAACTTAGCGATATTGTGAGTCAAATAATGTTGTTGATACATGTTTCAAACTAGAATTCTCGTATTTGCAACTTCTTCTTCTTCTTTTGTCCTGCTACATTTGCATTTTGCGTTTGTTATGCGATTCCACATTATTGTTGAAAGTTTTCTTAAAACTGTTATGTTTTTCCCTTTCAGATAATTATTTTTAAATATATTGACGACAAGGACATTTTTCAAAAGGTATGTTGTTATTGCACGTTAATACATTGGAACCTGCATGTAGAAAAACCCTTTACATACACAAAGTTCTTGGTACCTTCAGCCTGGTAGCCTATGTAGCTTGGCGGTTTTTAAAAAATTGGAGCGCCCTAAGAAAATGGGGAAGCCGCGATAACGAGCGCTATAACAGTTACGGTAACGAGCGGCGAAGTCGCGAGGAACCTAGGAGAGAGACAAATTTAAAACTACAATACAACGGTTGTATGGAGGTGATTTCATCCTGATGCAAGGAACCACTGTCCGTCGAAATCACTCATAATATAATGAACACAATCAAGAAGCCTAGAATCAAAATCTGCCCCTATATAAGGAGTACACTCCTCTTAGGACTGATGTTACGGCGCCTTTCAATAACATGCAGACTTTAAAATTCTTAGCGAAAAACGCACTTGTTGGTTGAGCTTTGAATTTTAGAGTCCGCATGTTATTGAAAGGTGCAGTAAGTGCAGAATAGATCAGCTAAGACAGAAATCCTTTCATCCTAGTATGTACATTGTCAAAGACTGCAAGTTCTTTTGTGAACTGCTCATTTAGTTTATAATGAACCCTTGTAGCGGTCAGTGAACACATCTTCCAAGGCTCTTGGTTCTTTTTTCCTATCTATCAATGCTTTGCTGTACCTAAATTGCATGGGAATAATATGTCCAGACTCTGGAATCTACTGAAACTACTTACATGCATTGCTGTATACTGCACCACAAATGCAATGTACTTGTATCTTAAATTATTTTATTTTGGTTTTAGTTCTACTCCAAGATGTTAGCAAAGAGACTTATTCACACCCTGTCAGTGTCAATGGATGCTGAAGAAGGAATGATCAGCCGACTGAAGGTAAACATACACAGGGCTACTGCTATGTGTGTGTGAAGATCTTTGAAGCAAATTACAATTTGACGCAGCTAAAACCTTGGACCTTGCTGTGTATGACCAACACTTGGCAGTGAATTTTTCAAAAGATGCCCCACCATGTCTGCAAACTGCTTTTTTTTGGGGGGGGAGTGGTAGGTGGGGNACTAATTTTGGAAAAAATGCATCATTAATATTACTTTATCTTCCTTATTGCAGTGGACATATATATGCCAAATTATTTTTTTGGGGGGGGGGGTGGTACATGTATGTGGGGGAGAAGGGAGGTTTAAACTGCAATGAATACACGCATCGCCCACTGCCACGCTACATGTACATTGGAAGAACTGGATGTTGAATACTTAAAAATTGTATGAGTTACATTCAATCCTGAATAGTATGGCGTTGGTGGAACAAATGAATGTCAAGATGTTTAAGTCATGTATTTAGACTCGTTTTAATTTTGCAAATATTGAATCTGATATTTGTTGAAAATTATCTGTTAGACCACGAGTGTAGTCATGCTACTTTGACAGGGAAACTCATTCTTAATTTTTTCACAATCCAGATTCTACTCTATGTCTTTGTCTTTCTTGCAGCACGCCTGTGGTTATGAGTACACCAACAAACTTCACCGCATGTTTACTGATATCAGCATCAGTTCAGATCTCAACTCCAGTTTTCTCGATTTCCTTTCTAACGCCAATGTGTCTCTTGGAGTTGGTTTTACCCTTTTTGTTTTACAGGTGAGTTTGTCATGGTGCTAGTTATCAAAATTATATTGTATACTTACTAAAGACTTTGTTCATAAATTTCTTTGCAATTCTTGTTGGGAAAAGTTGATTTCAAGTTAACTTCGTTTGACCTGGTCAAGTGCTTGATTTTTGTGAGTTGATCATCTGAAGTTGTTCTGAAAAGTAGAAAGAATTGGTCACTACTGGAGACTGAAGGTTGACAGTTTTTGTTAAAAGAATGGGTTTGCAGAAAGGGTGGGGGTGGTATTGCTGGGAAGGAGAGGCTTGGGGCTGTAGGTTGGAGGTAGGTGCCCATTTATATTTCATTTTACATGATGTAATTCTGTATATTTGGTTCCACGCGGTGACATTAATATGACGCACATCGATGCATTTTTTGAAACATTTTAAATATATTGATAATTATTTTTTTCTTTACTTTGTAGTCTGGGGCGTGGCCTCTTGGTCAGACTTCTGTTTCACCATTGTCCATCCCCCAGGAACTAGTGAAATCAGTTCAAATGGTAGGTGATTGTTGATCCTACCCATATATTACAAGGAGGAAGAGTTACACATGTTGTTAATGGAAATATATTTGGCTTGTTGCGTTTTTTTTTTTTTACAGTTTGAACAATTCTACAATGGAAAATTCAATGGCAGGAAATTAACATGGCTTCAACACTTGTCTACCGGTGAGAGAACGAAACATGCGCTTTTAATATGATTGATATCCATCACTTACCTTCCTCACAGTATTGAGGAAGGTAAGGACATTTAGAGGACAAGTTCGAAGTTTCCATTGGTCGATAAGTGGTAAGGGGCGACGTTCTGAGACAGCTTATAAAGTTGATGACATTTCTGATTATGTTAGCACAACCCACTGACTGAACGGTCTGTAATGACACGAAGATCGTGGAGGYAGCGTGGCCGAGTGGTTAGGGYGCCGGACTTGAAATCCGGAGGTCGCGGGTTCAAGTCCCGCTCTGACCACTTACCTGGAGTTGTTTCTCGGTAGACCCTAGTTCAACTCCTGGGTCATGCTTGTAGATAGCCAACTGATCTGCCTCCCGCCAGTTGGGATTTTTAACCATGTTATGTTCATTTGCATTATTTGTTTCATCATTTGGTGTCATTGGCCCTGAAAAGCCCCATTGGGGGAGTGGTCAATTAAGATATTTATTCATTCATTCATTTATTTATTTATTTACTTATTTAAAACAAAAATAAATTTTATATCTGAACCTTCATGAAAACAGCAACATTTAGAGAAAATGACTTTAACTATAATATAATTGCAATTATTGTAAAAATGAGAAACAGTTTAAACCTGTAGCTGGTCATCTAGAATAACTAAAAACTTCAACTAGTTGGAGTGTTCGAAAATTAGGGACTACACTGTATTTTGTAACTCACCTTGTGTTTGTTGTAGGCGAAGTGAAAGTTAGTTACCTTAAACGGCCGTACTTCATCACTGTCACAACGTATCAGATGGCGGTCATATTGCTGTTCAACGAGAGGACAAGTTTACAGTTTTGGTAAGTAATGACACGAAAATCGTTGATTTGGTTCCGCACCAGCTGTCGTGAAGAAGTGTCACGTGTCTGACTTATTTCGTTCCCAAGTCTCTTAAGAAAAAAGGAGAGGCCCCTGGGAGCAAAATTTTAACGTCAGTTCCCAGTCCCTACTCAAACACCTTGAGTATTCTTCTTCTTGGCTGAATCAACTTGAAGTTGATTGACCGCCGTAGTGTATTTGTAGATAAATTTATGTATTTGTAGATGTGTTTTTGAAGATAAATTGACCGCCGTAGTGTATTTGGCAAAGCCGACGTTTCAAGCTTTCAGCTTTTTGTCATTTTGGTCTTACGAAGGGCTTATACTCTGCCATTAAACTTCAATTAATTTACCGCAATCTACTGCAAGTTGACAATCAACTGAGTGTTTCACTTGCCTGTCTACGTAATACTGTACTGTAACAATTACTTCATGAACTAATCTCCCTGTTTTGTTTCAGTGAAATTGGTGAACAGACACAGCTTGTGGAGAAAGAACTAATTAGAACGTTACAATCCCTAGCAGACGTACGGCTCATAACGATCTCTGAGGTAAGCCAACTGATAACTTGCCCTTGATAGTAGAAAGTTTTTTGACTGAAAACCGGCGAAACCTGTTTGTGACTTGTTATTACCTGAATAACCTGTCAAGTTGTTCATCATCCAGCGTCCTAGTAGACTGGAGTAGTCCCTCGCTTAGCCCCTCTACGTGACGCGAAAGAAAACCGCGAGGAAAAAAATGGCCGCGCCAACTCCTGGGGGCGAGAAGCACGCGCGTCTCGCCCCCAGGATTTCTCGCAGCCATTTTTACCTCGCGGTATTTACGGTCACGCTCGACGGGCTAAGAGAAAAAGGCAGTACTTGTAGTGTAGCGTCTTATAGCCTGCTGTTCTACGTTGGAAATTTCCAGCCGTGCAACGAGCAGTTTGGAAATAAAAGAAATATAACAAAGAAAATTCAGCCGTAGTAAAGTTTCCTGCTGAATCAGTAGACTATCAGTGCGTTAACCCAACGACGACAACAACAAAAACAACAAAAGAAAAGAAAAAGAAACGGGGCAAGCCATATCCTCTTCGAAGGAGGCGCGGAACGAAGTAGCAACGAAGATGCGTTGAGAAACTCTGGGGAGAAAGACAAAATTTGCGCCAGGGAGACGTTTTAGTTACTTTGCCAGTACCCTCACCACATGATGTACCATTTCCCGTTAGTTAATCGGAATAAGTGTTCTTTGAGTGATGTCAGTGTTCAAAAGTGTGCCACTGTTTGCGCTAATTGTCTAAATTGTTTTTTCTCCCTTTAGGGCACTGATCCCACGAAATGTACATACACTTTAAACCCTGATTTCTCTAGCAAAAGGACGAAACTTAAAATCACCGCTGCAGTACAGAGAGAAACTCCACAGGTAATAAAGAAAAAATGAAAGAAGAATCCTCTTTCTTCACTTCACTGGAGGGGAGGTTACCAGTTTCTTTACGCGCGTTTCGTCTTTCAGTTATTTCCTGTGGAAATGAGACATAGGCTAGTCTTCTGAGAAAAGCAGAACTTCTAACTTTTTATTCCCAATTTGAAAATGTTAATTTTCCTTACCGATCGACGTACGTTTTGGTTCTGAGAATTGGATAGTTCATCAAAACAAAATCCCCCAGTTGATGACGCTCTCTATTCTCGTCTCCTCACTGCTTGTCAATATATAAATATTGTAAGGTGAAATTGTTTGTGGATCATTCGTGAAACGCTTTGAGAACCATTAGCTCATCGCAAGTGTTTCGTTGTTCTTTTTGTACAGGACACGGAGCAAACACTTTCATCAGTGGATGATGACAGGAAAATGTACCTTCAGGTAAGAAATTTGCTTTGGTTTTGCTTGCTCAGTTTGCTTTTTATTTGGGCTTGTGATCAAAGTTTGTTGGTTTGACCAACGCCTCAGAGGAATAGTCACTGCGGTTGGAGAAAGGGAAAACTCAGTACCAGGTCCAGAAAGAAACTGTGGGTGGGCCTGTACCAAGGTATCTTGTCAGGTGACTTCCGTCATCAGACTTCACGTGACAATAGCCTGTTCACAGCCCCTCTATTTTTCAACGCGCGCGAAAAAAAAAAAAAAGCGAACGCGAAGGAAGACGGGATGGGTGTGGGGGGCGAGCTAAGCGAGCTAAACGAACCCAAGTCTCTTGTCAAGTCTCTTGTTTTGCGCTGGCGCCCAGTTCTCTCGCGACTCTATATGCGCAGTCATCGATCAAATAAAAATACGAGAAAATGCGTGACGACTGTAATCATCTCTTGAGAAAGGCGCCTCAGCAGATCTGAAAGCTGCTGTATAGCTTGGAAATTCGTACTCTGTTAGACATTTTTTATTCGGTACGTTTATGTTCAGTTTACGAAACGTTATTCGTTCGACAAAAGTGCTAGATAACTTTTGTTATTCACTTTCTTCATTATTTTCTATTGATTAATATTATTTTGTTACGTTTAGGCTGCCATAGTGAGAATTATGAAATCCAGGAAAGTTTTGAAGCACAATTCACTCATGCAAGAGGTAAAAAAAAAAAATAATTGTCTACCTTATGCGCCACTCTTGCGCAAGGAGTTAGGTGAAGGTAAAGTGAAAAAAAAAAGAAAGGAAAAAGAAAAACGAACTAGACAAGCAAATAAATAAATATATGTAAATATGCATACGTGGTTTTGTCTCTGTGCACGTTATGCCACCAACTTCTGTCATTTTAACCCTTTTAGGTTATAAGCCAATCAAGTGCTCGATTCACTCCCAGTGTAGCAATGATCAAGGTAAGGCACATTCTGAACCAGTACTTTACACCGTTTGGAGCATACAGGCTTCTTTCTGACATCTGCACTTTTCGATGAGGGAATCATTGCTTACAATATTTGCCTGATTATAATAAGCGATTCAGTTTTTGATAAAGCTACAGAAATATAAGTTCTAAATATTGAAAGGCCATGGCACAATTATAACTGTCCCATTATAGAGGATGTTTTCCCAATTCTTCGAAGAACTGGTTATACCACAACACACTGCAAATTTAACAATATTCGTATCCAAAGTATCTACTTTAGATTTTGATTTGAAATTTCCGAAGACGCGAGCAAACTGCCCGACCAATGTGAAACGATTAGATTGGTATCAAGAGACAAGACATCCCAAAATGGCATAGTCTCGATTTCCGCCGCTGTCGAGTCCGATCCGGTCTTCGTTCTCCCCTGAGAAGCCTTCAGGGGAAGAGCGCGGGCCCCTCTCCCGAACAGCGGCTGGTAATCGAGCCTGAAAGCGTCGCCAATCCGGAAAAAATTTTATCTCCTTTGTAAACGTACTCTTCCTTTTCTCACGTCTTTTCTTCTTTTTCTCACTTCCTCTCTCTTTTAGAAATGCATCGAGGCGCTGATAGACAAACAATATTTAGAAAGACGCGAGGGGAGTAAGGACGAGTACACCTACATGGCATGATGGGATAGCAGCCAGCATACAAGTCAACAACGCGTCGCTCAAACTGTGTGGGATGTGTACGGAGATGAAATTCGGAGATTTTCTCTCTTCCCTCCCCTCCCTTCACGTACAACATGCAACAAGGACATAGATAGAGACTGAGAAAAGAATGTCCCGTTTGTTGTGACGAAAACATGTTCGTTTCCACTATAAATGGAGCGCTACAAGATCCTCGATTTTAAATACAGATTGCTTTGTTTGCTTTCAACTGGCAGTTGGCGGGAAAAAATCGACAACAGATCTCATATTTATTGATTCTTTTTAATGTTGACTGTATTTTGGTGGCGTCATTGGACATTCCCTCGTGCATTAACCGGTGTATGAATGGTATATTCTTTTAACAAGGTCACACTTTTGCCGCTGCGTGGACTTGACGGGCAAATAACTTGTAGGACTAATGCTTAATTAATATTTACTTCCAATTTTTGCTAATTTAGAACATTTTTATATCAATTCATTTGTTAAGCGCGGCGTTTTACATATAAAGAGGTGTTTAGCTCTTTTTCTTTGAATTCTTCTTGAGATATTTGGCAAATGCTCAGTCAACTCGTCAGGGGTACGTATGAATTTCAAGTTGACTTAACGCTCATTTTCACTGATGAACTATCTTTGTTCACGGTCTGATGTTAATTTT